TTGGATTAAAATGAAGAAAAATGAAGACGAGGCCCGAGGATCCCGTTCTGCAGGAACAATGGCCGCTCCACATCTTCCCGGGCTTTTGGGGATCAGATGAAGTCGTTATTCATTCAGTCAAGGAAAAAAAGGCTCGATTACTTCAGGCTAAAGATGCTATCAGCGAATAAAAGTCTGCATTTTACTCAGAGTCTCTCAACCCAACAGGACGGCCGACTCGTCTGCACACGCGTGAGGAACCTGCCGCTTCAGCTGGAGCTCCGACATGACGGACAAAACAAAAACACGACAGAGCCACGCTGTTAGTTCTGTACATTTTAACACGGCTTGACCCGGAGAACGGGTTCAGCCTCCAGCTGATCAGAGTCCAAACATGCTGATTTATTAAGAAAGTGAAAATAAGAAGATGCAGAAACAACATTTATACACAAATATAGAAAATTATTCTTGATGTGACTTTGTTTTCCATCCCTAATGGCCTGCAGATCCCTCTGGAAAACATTCTCCCTAACTCCGGTCTCTGCTGGGTCCTTTTCCGGTCCCTGCAGCACGATCAGAAGCTAAACGTGTGCTAACTGCTCCAACCAGCTGGACTTCAGGTGCATGTTTGCACCAGACTAGCAGGAATAACGTGCTGCACATCAGTAAATTCTCCTGTAAGGTTTCACTCAAGCCCAGCTGCTCCGGAGATATTTCATCAGACTTCCAGCTCCTTCGTTAACGCTGGGAAAGGTTAGCGAAGAAGCTGGGACATCAGAGGACCAACACTTATGAAAGAGCAGCTTTACGCTGTGCTCGTGTCAGATGGACCGGGTCGGCCTCATGGGTGTCACCAGACTACAAGTGGTGCTCGCTACAGAACCACAAAGGCGGAGCTGCACCAGAGTCAGCCCCGCCCATTGCAGTCAGCCCCGCCCATTCCATCAGAGTCAGTCCAATTCCTTCCAGTTGTCAGACTTGACAGCATTCTGGAACCATAGAGGGTGTTATAGCTAGTATCATCTAAAATGCAAGATAGAGGACGGAGTTGGAGTTAACTGAACCTTTTTTGTAAAGGTTCCATATAAAATCTAACTTTTGGAACTGTTTACCGTGTTATGTCGTCATTTCCTCATAAGAAACACGCCAAAGCCATTTCTGGCCTCATTCATGCATTTTCCTCCCATCTCAGCTTCAATTTGGTCCTCTCCTCCGAAGCGGGTCTGGTCTCGGTTCTCCAATCTGGATATTCTGTGGATTTTCTGACAAATTATTTCTGAAATGACTTCTACTGAGACACCGCCGGAAAACCATACATCCCATCTCCAAAGACACACTGGATGGCGCCTGCTCTTCATCAGGTGAAGTGGTTGTGGAGGCAGGTGTGCGTGCAGTTCTGTGCAGGTTCGCCTCCCCGTAGCAGCAGTATCAGGTAGTTTAAAACCCTTTTTCTTCCTTTCTAGCTACACTTGCCAGTTCTATGTTTACAACCATTTATTGGTATACCGTTTAAAATCTAATGACTAATGTGTTTATTTATTTATTTGTTTATTTAGCCGGTGTGAGTCCATGTGTGAGCAGAGTTTCAACTAAAATACTGTTTAGGAACGACCACATTTAAACAACTTTTAGAGACATAAATATGTTGCAGAAAATCAACATTACAACTAAAATATAAACAAATTAAATGTGTCAGCTGGCTGCCGACCCCACCCAGAGTCGAACCAGCATCAGCAGAGGGGAAAGCAACACTTGAGTCACTGGACCACCAGAACCATCGACACATACAAACCTGTACCAGAACCCATTTAATAGCCTTACATGCTGTTGTGTGCCGGTTCTGTTGGAGCGGCTGTGGGCAGATATTTGCTAAAAGAAACTTTTTCATTTCTTCGTCATGTAGCAGGTTACATGTATCTTGTTTAACTGGAGCAGAGGACCAGTCAGTAACAGCCGTAACGCACGTGGGTCAGGTTGGTTTGTGGTAAAGCTGAAGAAGTCAGTGGGCGGGGCTGAGTTTGCGTGAATGGGCGGGGCTGACTCTGGTGCAGCTCCATCTTTGTAGTTCTGCAGCGAGCACCCTCTCCCAGACTACGAGTCTAAAACGTTCCCGTGACTTCAGCCGCGCGTATCGACGCTCCGCTCCGGCCTCCGATCTCCGACCAGCACATCGGCACTTCTGACAGCCTCTCCTGGAAATATCGAGCCGCTCTCAGACGTGGAGCTGAAACAGAACCTGCAGCTCGACGAGCCGAGCCGCATCGGCGCTCTCGGTGAAACAGAGAGGCGTGAAAACGCCTCAGAAGGTCACCACAGCTGGTCCTCGTCTCCATCAGCCAGACCAGACATGCCGATAAACATTTTAACTGGTCCTACTGGGACTTGGAGCTTGGGCAGGGTACTAAAACTACAGTCAGAAAGGTTTAAATACAATCATTACAGAACCTGGTTCTGAGTCTGACCCGGTTCTGGTCCAAATCTAACAACAACAGACAAGACTTTCCTGAACTGCCTCTCATTG